GATAGATAGATAGATAGATAGATAGATAGATAGATAGATAGATAGATAGATAGATTCTGGGAGTATACTAATGAGCAGAAAAATATGTGTACAAACCTCCTCCCTCCCCAGCCAACTCTATGCATCAACCTTCTCAAGCCCCTTAATCAAACTTACTTAATGGGTAAGCCTGGGTGATCCCGGAAGTACTTGTTCAGGGTCGGGTCAATGCGAGAATAAATAATTTCCTCGTAGCCTTTCAGAATTTCGGACTGGGGACAAATGTTTGAAAGCATTATGAAGACAACACTTTGGAGAAAACATATCGGTGATGCTACTTAATGCGAATATCGCTTTAGAGAAAACATGTCGGTAATGAGACATAATGAGAACAACGCTTTAGAATGAGAACCACACTGAAGATGAAATAATTTGTGAGTGGCTGGCGGGTGCTCTGGTGTGGTTTGCTTCTTCTTTCCTATCAAACATTTATCGTCCTTCTTTTTTGTGCTTGTTACTCTCTTGTAACACCTCTAATCTTCGGCACTTATATGACCTTTTTGCGTTGCAAATGCCGTAAAACATTTACTATAACTAAACTGAAATAATTTGTCAGTAATACGACATTATGAGAACAACACTGTCGAGAAAATTAGTCAGTAATACGACATGATGAAGGTGAAAAAGCTTCCGAACAAGACCCAGGAAAGGGACCCTTTTCTTTCTTTGTTTTTACTAACCGTAAAAAGAAGAACAGGAAAAATCCACTTTTTAAGCCAAGCTACACGAAAATTAAAACTCATTATTATAGGCCCTCCTGCTTCTCCACTCATAAACACAAGAACATAATATAATCAGGATGCACAGCAGCAAAAATAACAAACAAATTGTAAGACCAGCAACAACTTGCAAACTTTAAAGATAAGAAAGAAAAATGAATAGGTACCTCTGTTTTGATCATCATGCCTTCCTTTTTGTTGATTTCAGCAAAATAGTCTCTGATCGCGTAGCCACTGTAGCCTTGTCGATCCATAATCTGAAACAAA